TTCAGAGCTGCATTAGGAGTTCAGTGTTTGTCGAAAGGGAACTGATAGAACTCATAAATACCTGCATCACTGCAATCTGCTGTTAGAAAGAAAGCTTACCTGTGCCAGCGATGACTTTTACTCCATATGGCTCCTGTTCCATCAGTCACTCATTGGAATAATCACAAGAAAATGCAAAAAACCTTCAAAAAAGGCCTTGACTGCAGTGCATGACAACAATTGTAAAATTCACCCTTTTCTGGTTATATAAAATAGTCAGCACACATCAGCAGTAATCAGGTTGTAGCACTCCGGATTAGTGACCTTGACAGTTGGACCACTTCAGCTTTCACCTATTTTCTGCTGCTTCCCTGAACAGTCCAACCAGTTTCTATGGTAATTCAGTCCCTCCCTCTGTCCCTCATTGTGTGTCATCCAATTCTTCTTCCCGCTTCAGCTGTTATGCATTTGTGTGTGCATGTGTGTGTGTGACTTCTTTCTCCTCAGCTGCTGAGCTGGCTGTTGTGCAATGGAGGTTGAGAACACACAGACAGATTGATTCTACCTGTATGTGTGTATATCAGTGTACGTATGTACAATTATAAAAAATGTATGTATGAGGATTGAGAGAGAGTGACATGGGAATGCGTATGAGAGTACAAATGATGGGGTTTAAGGATGTATTGTTAGATTGAGGGGATCTTCCATATTTCGTCAAGGAAGTTGTTTTTTATATTGTGAAATGGGGGGAAGTAGGGGGGAAGGTGACAAAAGGTGAGGGAAAAGTAAAGGGTATTGTGTTTCCTAAGGGGGGAATCTAAAAGTATAGGATAATATAAAACAATAAAAAATGTATGTATGAGTGTTGGAAGAGAGTGACATGGGAATGTATATGGGAGTACAAAGGATCTTGGGAGTAGGGGGATGACAAATGGGACAGATATCTGGAGAGAATATAAAATATTCCAATAGGGGATGCAAATCGGGATTTTGTGTTTCCAAAGAGACATGTGGGCTGGACATTAAATAGTGTCAATGAAAACTTTACAGTGGGGATTTATTTAGAATTCCATGCATATAAATGATAGAGTTGGAACCATATCACCCCTCGTATTACATCATAACTGCACAGAATAGGTACTACAGTGCCAGTGATGAAGTTCAGGACATGTTAGGGGAGCTATAGTCTGTTGAATGAGCTCAAAGTCACAATTTGTTGTATTGGGATGATGTGTGACTTTATTTATTTTAGCATGCGGGTATTGAGATAAAACCACAAATAAATGATTATTTCCTGTACAGCATTAAGGTTTCAAAGAACAATAATGCAGGGTTGTAGATTTTGTCTTAAAAGTATAAGAAAGCTCTGGCTACATTTTGTGTATTCATTATTTCCATGCTGTATTCTCTATGTAGGGCTCATTGAGATCATACCCCTGGAACAGATCATACCCATCGAATAAATGGACATGTCCCGACGTCTCTGGACCATCTACTTCAACCACCTAAAAATAGTCCTTTTCTTGTATTGTATATAAGATAAGATATATCCTATCCATTTTCCATGTATAGAAAACACAACTAAAATGCTATGGTAACCAGTGCAAATTCTTGTTTTTGTCTGATAGTGTTTTTTAAAAACAGCTCTATGCTGCCAGGCAGCATCCCCTGAGCAAGAAAAATCAGGCACAGGCGGGAGAAGGAGACCCTTATTCTTGGGTAATGTTTTAATATATATGTACAGTCTATAACATTATTTAATGAATGACCATGTCAGTCGTGTCTTTTATTTATGCAGTAAAGAGGTTATATTGATTTTCTACAGAGGAGAGACATCTGTACGAAAGAGTCAGACGCTCTATTTTACTAAATCGGGGAAGAAATCTTTTGTTAAAAATCCAGCAAATTGTGGCGATGGTGATACAGGTAAAATATATGTCTCAGTAAGTCCTTAAGGAGCCATCCTGACTTCTTTATCCACGATCATTATTTAATTTTAATATCTTCAATGTTCTATAAATACATCATTTAAAAAGGGGATATAACACTGAGATTATTTACCATGCTTATAGCCAATATTGCATTTAAACAAGCCAGAAAAGATCTTACAATTGAAAAAGAGGTTGTGCAATTGAAAAGGGAGGTAGGGCTTTTGAGGGAAAGAAATAATGAGTTAATAGAGGAGGTGTGCATACTCAGGGAAAGTAATGAAGCAATAGAAGGATAAAAGGAAAAAATGGTGTACTTTTTGTCAAATTAACTTAAGATCTGTGTTGAGCAATTAACTTTTGATATCACTTATTTTATTTGGTAGTTTGTTCAACCATGTCTCGTAAATGTGTAAGCAAAACAAAACACAGCTAACAATGTATGGAGAACAAAAAATTACTTATAAAAATAAATGCATAAATAAATAAATGTCCTAAATGTATTTACACATTTATTTATTTATGTATTTCTGTGTCCGTATGCTAATGAGTAAAGGCGGTCCTAATCTCAGTCTCATGCAGGATTGGTCACAGGAGTGCAATGTTCTACTACTTCTGCCTGTCAATGCTTACTGTTGTGCACTAGCTGCTGTTCGCAGTGTTGTGTCAGTTCACACTTTGAAAGAACGAGTATATGAAAATATGTAGGATTCAGCAACATAGACCTCTAAGTCTGTTTCAATGTGATGTATACACACCCTTTGAGTTACTCGGCTCTTTACAAATTGTGTTTCTGAAATGATCGAACAAATAACCAGATATCCTGGAGACTTTTACATCCTGCTTATGATTTTTGGTCCAGAATATGGGCTATATGCGTAGGAGCAGACCTTTTCTTTTAAGGAGACAAAAGTGATGGAGCATCATATAATGGTAGCCTAATTTTGGAGTCAATACCTAAATGCAGAATCAATACCTGTATCATCCATGATTGGAGGAAGTTTCTGGTGAAAAAAGGTCTCTGGCAGGATATACGGGATGTAGTGGTCCTCTTGACATTGTTTGGTACAAAACAGACAAAACATCAGCACTATACTGTATAGTAGTACAGCAACCAGACCACTCCCTAAAGGGGTAAATAAACAAACAGTATTTTAAAGACCACATGATCCTGACAGTTAAGGATGGATTATTTTCTTATACCCACATGTTGGTTTCATTTCCCCTACCCCTTCACACACATCTCTGACCTCCCCTTCCCTGTTGCAAATAGGTGTCTCTTATTTTCTTCTCCCCTCACATCCTCGTCACCACTTGTTCGCCAACCTCCCCTCAGGCAGGTTCAGGGTCTTACGTGCCCAGACAAACCAGCTGAGGAACAGATTTTTCCAAGTGCTGTGGACAGGCTGTTAAAATCATAGCATTCCTTCCCCCCACCCCAACCTGAAAAACAATGTTTCAACTGCTGCTAAGAATTGTATAAGGAGTTTGCAATATATATTATTTATATGTATATATATATATAAACACTCACCAGCCACTTTATTAGGTACACCTTGCTAGTACAGGGTTGGACCCCCTTTTGCCTTCAGAACTGCCTAAATTCTTTGTGGCATAGATTCAACAAGGTGTTGGAAACATTCCTCAGAGACTTTGTTCCATATTGACATGATGATGGGAATCTCTTGTTCCACCACATCCCAAAGGTGCTCTATTGGATTGAGATCTGGTTACTGTAGAGGCCATTGGAGTACAGTGAACTCACTGTCATGTTCAAGAAACCAGTTTGAGGTGATGTGAGCTTTGTGACATGGTGCATTATCCTGCTGGAAGTAGCCATCAGAAGATGGGTACACTGTGTTCATAAAGGGATGCACATGGTCAGCAACAACACTCAGGTAGGCTGTGGCGTTTAAATGATGCTCAATTGGTAATAAGGGGCCCAAAGTGTGCCAAGAAAATATCCCCCACACCATTACACCACCACCAGCAGCCTGAACCGTGGATACACGGCAGGATGGATCGATGCTTTCATGTGGTTTACGCCAAATTCTGACCCTACCATCTGAATGTCGCGGCTGAAATCGAGACTCATCAGACCAAGCGAAATTTTTCCAATCTTCTATTGTCCAATTTTGGTGAGCCTGTGCAAATTGTAGCCTCAGTTTCCAATTTTAGCTGACAAGAGTGGCACCCGGTTTGGTCCTCTGCTGCTGTAGCCCATCTGCTTCAAGGTTCAACATGCTCTGCATACCTTGGTTGTAACGAGTGGTTATTTGAGTTACTGTTGCCTTTCTATCATCTCGAACCACTCTGCCCATTCTCCTCTGACATCAACAAGGCCTTTTTCGTCCACACAACTGCCACTCACTGGATATTTTCTCTCTTTTGGACCATTCTCTGTAAACCCTAGAGATGGTTGAGTTTGAAAATCCCAGTAGATCAGCAGTTTTTAAAATACTCACACCAGCCCGTCTGGAAGAAACAACCATGCCAGGCTCAAAGTTACCGGAATCCTTTCTTCCTCATTCTGATGCTCGGTTTGAACTTCAGCAAGTGGTCTTCCCCACATCTAGATGCCTAAATGCATTGAGTTGCTGCCATGTGATTGGCTAATAAGCTATTTGTGTAAACAAGCAATTGAACTTGTGTGCCCAATAAAGTGGCTGGTGAGTGTATATGCTGCTAAGTGGACTGCTGCCAAATGAAATTTCATTTTGTATTGATGCACAGCGACGATTAAGTATCTAGCAAGGAGTACTAGAATATTAGAAAAATGCCGGTAGTTCACAGGCTTAGTTCCACAATAAAAAAATATATATTTTTACTCGGTTTGAGTGTACATTTTGTGGCAACGAAACCCATCTCATAACAGCCTGCCAGGAGTGAACTGTTATGGGGCTTTTAATGTGAATTTATAATATATACTGATGATAGACAAAACAGTGGAGTCAATTTTAAGTCAATGGAACAGAGTCAGTAACAAAAACAATTAAATTGATCTTATGTGGCTTTTTTTAAATGAAAAATATCAAAACATTGTGCATCTTCCTTTAAGCATTCAAAACAAGCACTTTGATGAGGATAAAATTAAAATGCGATTCATTTATTGTACACAAGAGCAATTTTAGGCCTTTACCAGCTTCAACTTAAAAGCTGACACAAAGACATGCATGTATAAAACAAATGACATTTTCTAAAAAGAACAGTAAAAAAGTAGTAGTATAATAGTTGGCAGAATTAGCAGCTTTTTAACATGGAAAATATACAACACAACAACATGTATAAAAGCATTGTCCTGATTTTATTAAGTTCCAAATGTTAACCTCCAATGTGTTGTACTTTATGCTTTTTACATATTGGTAAGACTGGTAGGAACATTTTCTTGCTCCCTTGCTCTTGGCAAAGTCAGCTTGAAAAGAAAAAAATTCCTGCTGTTACCTGACTTTGTAGCTAACTGTCCATATCAAATCACCAGCGTGTTCCAGTGTATGGGCAAGATCCTTTCAGTGAATTCAAATGTTTGGGTCACTATCATGTCTTTGTGTTCAACAGTCCAATGGTTTGATTGGTCTGGTCACTTTTATCCTGCATTTGCATAAACTGGATGGAGCTGTCTCACTCATAGTTGTCATAAGTTCAAATATGGAGGTTTTACCAACTCAAACTATTTCTTTTCCACCAGCAAACTAATGAATAAAACATCTACAATGGACAAGAGTTTTGTGTTTTTGAAGTAGATGTCTGTTTACACCAAGTGTGAACATTAAATGCCCCACTTTCTTTTCTCTTTTTTTGAGGAGGTTAAATTATGTTTCTCCACATTTCACCTCCACATGTTGTTGTGAATGATGCAAGTCATCAACACAGGCTGAGATCAATGTGAACACCTAAAGGCAGGGACAGGAACAGGAAAATGACCTCTTTCCTCTCACATATTATGACTGAGTAAGTAAAGAATGCAGTTTTGACCAGAGGAACACAAAGAAAAAGTAACAACACAATACAAGTGTAGTAGCGAAGTGCGGGTTGGTTGGGTTTTGGTTAGCATTTTAGAAAATATTTCAGTTGTCTGGTCAAAAAGTGACAAAGCAGCGTCCATTAATGTTATAGGAGGAATTGCATGAAATACCAAAATGAGATTACTGATCCACTTTTCCCAAAAGAGTGATATGACATACTTAATCAGAGAAGTTAAAAAGAGAGGTGTTTCGAGTCGGTTAGGTCATGGAAAAAGGTACATTTTTGCAGGTTTCGCTCTCAGAAAGGGTTAGGCGAGCACTTCAATAAAAGTTTTTTCCTTGTTCTTCCAGTCTTGGTGTTAATGTTACTTGTTATGGACACAGGGAAGATGAAACCGGTCCTGATCATCTAATGTGTTAAAAAACGCCAGTGTGCTCCTCCATCCTCTGCCATGATGTTGTATTCGGGTCAGTTTAGTGTACTGTAAGGCTTCCTCACCATCCCCATGCCTTTGATATGTGGCTTTGTAATGGTTCTCTCACATGCAAGTTTAAAAGTACAGCTTGTGGACACTCTGAACTGAACTTTCCCTTTAAACCACACAATGTGGAAAATACAAAAATAATGTGCAAGCAAATGTCGAAGTCCTTTCAGGGAGTGAGAGTCTTCTTAGCGAATGGTTGGTCAGACTAAGACTTTCGTTAGATTGAGAGCTTGTGGGGACCACTGTGTCATTGTCTTATTCAGAACATTGTTCACAGACAGTGACACTTGTTCAAATTGTTTGTGTGACATCACCAGTCCTCGCTGTTCGACAGGTGACCTTCAGCTGGGAGTGTTCAGCAGTTTCATAGTGATGTAAGATCCTGGACCTCCAGCAGCATAGCATCCTGCTCTGTCCTCAGCTGGTCTCTGACCTGGAGGCGACCCACCAGCTCTGAGCTCAGGTCTGACACAGACAAATGAAAAATTAATTCATGTAGTTTGTAGATTGGGCAAAACCTTCATATCAGTTGTTCAAGTACTTAACAATAAATGAATGCTCTTGGTCAACTTAACTCCCCTTTTTTGATGATGCCCATGCCCACAATAGCTGCATACCCAATCTGTAAAGCTGAATGTGAGACCATTCCAAATGAATGCATATTGTTCATGTCACCTCTGGAGATAGGCCGCTATCTAAATTTAAACTATATTACTGGTTATTTCAGATAAAGCTCCTGACAACCAGATGTGATGGGGGGCTGCTACAACGTGTCAGATCGATCAAAAACTAGTAAAACCACCAGATGTGTCATTGTTATGAGTCATAATTTAAAAAATATTTTTTTTCCATCCCTCAGAGTGGTGCTATTTAGTTTTTTTTTTTTCCATCCCTCAGAGTGGTGCTGTTTAGTTAGTATGGTGTAGGTGCTGATTGGGCCAGAGGCTGATAGTGCCCAGTTTGAAATGCTGCCTGCGGATGTCGGTTTTGCTTCCTTGCTTTATTTCAGACTCCCAACAAGACCGTGCTGTGTTTTGCAATATTGACCGACGATTCAATTTGAATGTGTGATCCCACTGACCTTGAGGAATTGTAATTCTATTAGATTGTGTCTTGGAATAACTGTCTCGAATAGGGGTAGGGGTGAAAAGTCATGCTTGTTGAATCTAGTTTCCACTAGGAATGTCTAACCTGTAATGTGAAACCTAGATTCTCGTGTAGACTGTTTTTTATACCAATTATCCGCAATTTCCTGCAAATATGCTCCAACGTCCAGAAATATATTCATTGTAAAGCAAAGCTCTGTAACCTTTCTTGAAATTCAGGATTACAATTTATTCAGAATTCTGTTCCATATTTCAACAATAGTTGGGCCTCTGCAGGAATCCATAGCCATATTACTGTTTTACTTGCATTTTAGAAGTTAAACAGTGTTTTTCTCTTCTTGATTCTGCTAGAGGTTTCTCCCTGCTAAAAGGGATTTTTTTTTATAGTGATCAAGTACTGGACAATTATGTGATGCCACCACACACCCCGCGGGATCGGGATCTAACTGAAGAATTACTTCCTGTACCTGCATTTGAAATCACTAATCCATGGACTTCCATAGGATTTGCCTTTACCTTCTCTTCTGCTCTTGGGTAAACCCTCAAGCATCTTCCACTGTGTGTGTTCATCATTTATTTTTAATCAATCTCTAAAAATTGTCAAAATTCTGGGGTCGATTGCGTCCTGGATTTGCGCCTCAAGGGACAAAGCATTGGACAAGGCACCATATGTTCTAACTTTGTGCAATTTTTTTAGCCACATCATACAGGTGGGTTCAACACAAATCTAGCTGGGGGTCCAAACCAAATCTTGTTGATACATAAATACCTTCATGTTTTCTGGGGAAACTTTCTAAAAACTAATCTATGGTCTATAGGTGACCAGGTTTCCTGGAATTTCCAATTCCTACAGTCTTATGACTCCACCCTCGTGTTAACAGCATGTTAGCACCTAGGTAAATCATGTTTGCGGATTTAATTGCTGCCAAGACAAATATAATACACACATGTTTCTCCCGTGCCTCCAACTCCAAATCATTTTAATGACATTGCGCTAATAGAAAGGTCATTAGCTGTAATATAATGTGCTGCTTTGATAGAATGTAATTAGACCTTATCTAATGTCTGCGTATATACTACTTATTATTACTTACCTTTTTTTTTTTTTACAAAATAGTGATGACATGTTTATAGTTTGGGTAAAATGCTGTTTGTAAATGATTTTCATGTCCTGAGTTTATAAAAAAGTCGATCACAAAAATAGAAGTGTCAGTTTTCGATTTAAGCAGCATGTAAGGGATGCGTGTAAGAAATGAAGGCATGGTCACAGTTGAGTGTAATGACTGTGTGTGGGTCTGTACCTTGTACTGTTTGGCTGAGAGATGAACAAAGACTATTTAGCTCCTTGATACTGAAGCTTTGTAAATCACTGCACTCCAAATGTCTCCTCTGGATTACAGGATCACTATGAGCTGCAGTCTGAGAAGAGGAGAGGAGGAAAGCTGTGACAAATAACATTTAAGGCTAGAAGACAGAAAAGGGCTGCTACTGTTCCATGCTATGCACCATTTGGTAACATGAGGCTCACCAGTGTTTTGTGGTCTATTCTCAGTCTGTCTCGTAGGTTCCTCAGAGTGTTCCTGAAGCCTCTGGATTTTGGTTTCTCTGGTTTGGAGGCAGGCTGAGGATTCTTAGGAACCTGAACACTCCCCCTCTTTAAGATTGGGAGGGGACAAGGTTTTATACTCTTCATTATATCCTTTGCATTTTTCCATCTGTACACAGTTCCAACACAGAGTTGAGTCTGAGCTCACCTGATTTAACTCTTAATTCAAAACATGTTTTAGAGGTACTTACCCATGTGTTTGAACTTCCCTTTTTGCTCCCATCTCCTTCCTTCTCTTCCTCCTCCTCCTCCTCCTCACTTTCACTGTTGTTGATGAAGCAGAGCTGAAGATTCATCTGTGTCTGCAGGCTGGAGGACACACAACAGTAAAATGAACATCATATTTTGGCTTTACACTGGTGGTCATTTAGGGATATGTGTGACTGACTGAATAGTGTGGGGGGAAAGCCACAAGAGGAGATGAATCAGACTATGTGAGGAGTTCAAAAACTTTACAGAAAAAAAGCTTTTTATGCAAGTAGCCTGGAGAGGCCATCAGTTTTTCTAGTGTGTGTACCGAGAGGTCAGTGCCAGCACGTGGCTGTTGCAGGCGTCGTCTCCATCCTCCCAGCTCTCTGCTCTCCTGCCTCTCTCCTCCATCCAACTCACTGGAGCTCTGCCACGCTCCAGGGATACTCCATTCTGAAACCAAATGACACATGTGTTACACAGACACGTCACTGTCATTTCAATTTGTTACTGTTGTCAAATAGCTTAATAAAAATCAACAGTGGTACATCAAGTAACTGATATCTGAGTCAATCCACATCTCTGTGTTGGTATGAATGTAGTATAAGACAGAACACATCAACACCCAATTCTCTATGAATTATACCTAATTGAATCTATGAAAATGACTAGGAAAACATTATTGAAATGGCGTATTTCAACCTCAAAGTAGGATCAGCTATTATACAAGTATTTATTTTCTCCATCCACACCTACTTGGTCACTACGCATCAACAGGAGTGACAAAAGCTTTGTAGTCACCACTGCAAGGAGCATTAGCAAGTAGCAGCGTACATTTTAGGATGTATATGTGAAAGAGAAGCTTTATATATAGAGGTAAGTACTGTATGAATGGGTTTGTTGTTTGGTGAAATTTTTTTCAATTATTTAAATGTAACCATGTTGTACATTCCCGACAAAATGACACATCACAATAAGTTATTTTGTCACTTCCTTTCAATCTAAAGTATTGAGAGAAACTAGAAAAGTAGCTCCTGAAAAGCCAAAATTAAACAATTCATAGAACACACATATACTGTATATGATAACACCTGCTTGCCAAAATATGTGCTGGGAGATACTGAGCCTGTAATCAAATCACTTTTTCACCGGGAGATATTTGTTTTCACGTCTGTCAGGTGTTAGAAGAGTCATCAAACCCACACTCGCTCGCGGTGAACACAGCAGGGATCCCCTGCTTTGTTTACGCAAGGACTTCTCCTGGACTTTTCAATAAAAGGATCTACATATTGGATCGGGCATTGCTAGGGAATGGAAGGAGAGATTTCTCTTCCAAATGACACAGCCTAGACGTGCTAATTTGAATGGCTCTTTAAATACATCATTGGAGGGATGTGGCCCCTGAAGCGGGACAATATCTGATGATATATTGACCTGAGAAATTTCTCTACTGACAAGAAATTTAAGAACATAGCTGGTAGAAGAAAACAGATTCTGTATGCAGATACAGGGACACAGATTCTGAGAGGTTATCACCATGTGGGAGACTGAAATATAGCTATCTCCAATAAAACTGACTGTTCCCAGTCCAGGACTCAACATCATACTCCACACTCCCAGACTGTGACCTCTTACCTTTGCCTTTTTCTCCTTCTTCTCCTCTTCTTGCTTCTCCAGCTCAGCAATGCGCAGGCTCAGTGCTTCCCAGTGCATGATGGGAAGCCCCAGATTGTCCTCACCATAGCCCTCCTGCCAGACCAGTGCGGCACCCTCCGAATCATCATCGTCCCCCTCCTTGTTGTCAGTGTCATCATCGCTCTTCCTGTCGTCTTCGGCCTCATTGCTCTCTTTCTCCTCCCGCTGCTGCCTCTGTCTCTCCTTCTCTCCCTCCATCTTTACAGTGGAAACAGCAGTATACCAAATAGCATTTTAAACAAGTGTCTGGGACAAAGAGGTCTACAAGGAAAATGTGCACCCAGGTTATAAAACTGTATTAGTGTCGAAGTAGTAATTCAAAGAAAACAGGTTGTTTCTGGCTACCAGAAATCAAACTTAACAATCATTAGATTCTTCACATTCAAAGGTTATAACCACCATTTTTTTCTACAACCTGGAGGGACTTCTTCAGTTTACAAAGCTAGCATATGTTAGGTACTGCATTACTGATTCAAGTATTTTCTTACTGTAAATGAGTTTTAGTACAATAACCCTGCCTTCCAATATATCTCTATCATATCTTTATTTCTGCCAGGGTGAATGAGGCTTTAAAACCACCCCAGTGTGAGCCTCTCATGTGTTAGAGCTGACTGCTTGTTTTTCTGAATGATAAAAACCTTGAAGGTTACTGAATAACACTAACAGCTGTTCTGAAGGAATTTTCCACGAATAAACACCGTGGACACAAAGGGGAAGGGTGGATTCATAAGATACAGAATAATCAAAGATTTGAATATTCTCAATATGTGCTTGAGTACACGCACTAAACTGCATGTATGTCAGAGAAAAGGGTTGGAGTGGCAGCTTCTCTTTAATGCAACGTATGTTGAAGTTCTTTCTTAGCTGCTGATCCAAGCTAACACAATCTTTTATGACCCTCTGTATTTGGACAACATTTATCACTTGAAAACATGAGATCTTATTTTTCAGTTCAGGTGTGTAGGATTTATGGGTACCTCTGCAGAAATGGAACATAATATTCATAATGATGTTTTCATTAGTGTATAATGACATGAACAGAGAATGGCTTTGTTTTTGTTAAGCTATTATCAGACATGACCAGAGAATTGGATTCCACAGACTTTCTGCTTTCTTTTTACTAGGGAGAAGGCAGAGAAATAATATCCGGGATAATCCGGGAGCCCTCACTCTGACATTTGCATTCACAAGTGTGGAGAATCTCCAGAGTTAAGTGCATATCTGAAAGCAGCTTTGGGTTAGGATGATCTTTTTAAATTTGCATTGGGAGCAGGTCCTTTTAGATAGCATCCGCCATGTTGCACCACCATGTTTCCCGTGGCCCGGAACAGACAATCCAAACAATGATCCAAGAGTAGGCTTTTCACGTTTTCACGTTACCTGAAGGCCACTGCAGGTTCTCCTATACACTGGAAGAGTAAGGGTTGTTGAGGCATAAACAGTATTGATTTACCAGCTCTTGTCAACTTTACTGTGTTTAGAATTGAGTCAAAATGATTAGAAGTCAGGCCCACGATTGGCCATGATGTTAATTCACATTTCAACACTGGTTTATGTATGACTTTCTAATACTGAGCAGGAAGAAACCATTTCAAATCCTACTGAAACAAGAAATCTCTGTCCTCTGGATTTACTTGACTGAAGGTGTTGACTGAGAAATGTTTAGTTTGAGTTTTTCTCAGGACACAAGCCCTAAACCCTCCCATTTATTTAAAACGGCACTTTCTGTGATATCGCTGATATTGTGACATCATCAGTGAGGACTATGATGATGGGGCGGTGAGACTATTTTTTGATAACACTCTGTGACAAGTACATTTTAAGTAACATAAAAAAAACAAAGTAACCTTTGATTATCTTTGATTTTCTCCACCTATTAACTTAAAACTTGGTGGCTGTGCTGCTGAAGATTCTGGGAAGATTCTCGTTGACTGAAATTCTAAAGAAAATTCGCCAACAGAATCCTTCTATCAATTTACTTCAATAATCAACACTAACAACTGATTGTAAATGATGTGAATGTATCATGTTTCCAGAAGACAAACACAAGAATGTGTATCCTCAACGTGCCTAATTGTACCACAATGTCTCATGTACCGTGTTCAGAGGATGTTACGGGGGGAAAGGCCACAGCAAAAGTGATTTAGGTTCAGGACTATAAAAAATAAAAAGTCAAATCAAGTAACAGAAGGCCCTCTACAGGCGTTACGTCGTTTGTAAGGTGAACTGCAAAAACTCCAGTAAGACGTTATTGAACTAGTCCGGTTTCGAATCTACAACCCTGGAAATATAACATACACTGAGCATCACTCCAAACTGTAAATAGATTTATTTTAAATGGACACTTACCACTTTACCCGTAACACAAAACACACGTCTACTGTGTGGTCAGAGGATCTGAGGGCTGTGCCACATTGCTCAGCTCCTCCAAGTTGTCTTCCTCCTTCGCCTCTTTTCCATCGGGTTTCACTCTTTCTCAAACAAAGCCCAACAAATAGAAAACACGTCCATTAGAGCAGGTCACGCCAAAGTCTCAGTCTGCGATACAACTTTGTGTCTACAGTTTCGACCACTCCACGAACCCACTAAATCTGGGTCCACTCTTTAACAAACGAACAAAAGACTCGGATCTGAGGAATTTCACGAAAAGTAACGTTGGCGATTGAAGTTTTCAAGTCTGGGACTTCCTGTTGCTGCCTTCAAAATAAATCTCTTTTTGGTCGTCTTCCTCCTGCTTATACGAGGATCATATCGAGGAACAAATCCTGACATTTTTAGAATGATATATTACCAAGGGAAATTCCCCAAAAAATTACAGAAAAACTCACAATACTGTGAAAAATATGGTTGTAATTTAACAAGGAAATATTGAAAAAACAAAGAAAAATCATCTTTTGGGGAAAATAAGCATCTAGGAGAACCTGTGCTCACCGGGGCCCCACTAATTCTGGACCCAAAATTGTGATTAACAATCCCATTGTTTTTTCGAGAATCTATGAGACCCCCTCTGAATATCATGCAGATGTAACGATTAGCCTCGTAGTCAACAGCTACCAAACATCTCCTCCTCCACAAGAGTCAGTTTACTCCATGTCCGTGTAGACAGTTTACTTCATAATGTGATACTTATTATAATACATTTATTTAAAGATCCAGTGTGTAAGATTTAGGTGGAAGGGAACTAGAGGCAGAAATGTAATCCTTGATGTTTTCACTAGTTTATTTCATCTTAATTGTATGAATTGTAATTTTCTTTACCCTAGAAAAGGCCCTTTATATTTACATACTTTATATTTATATCGAGGGGGTCCTCTCTACAGAGGCCGCCATGTTTTTTACATTAGTCCAGACTGGACAAACTAAACACCTTTTGAGTTTTTATGACAATTAAAGGCTACCACAGGTTCTTTTTCATGTTTGGAAGGAGATGGTGAGGTGAGGGGTGTTCAGCTGCAACATGTTATTTCAACACTAGATATCACAAAATTCTACACACTGAACCTTTAAGATTTTATGATACTGCCACTTTTTTAAAATCCGGTCAAGTCTAGTTTCAGAGGCAAGAGAATAATCACCAGGCAGGGGACTTGAGTACCAAAAAAAGTCTTTTTTAGAAATGCAAATTTATTAAAACTACAAACACCACAAATGAGGAAACACAAGTACCTACTTCCTAAAACATATAACACTGCAAGTGAATTCAAATATTGCACACCCCTGGGAAGACACTATACACTCCAAGCACAGCAAGTGATTTCACTGCACACAATGGAACTTAAATATTGATTGCTGTGATATGGGACTTCTTCTCCCTTTGTCCCCTGCACATTGTGTTGTTTTTTTCCAAGTATCCTTGGTCCTCAGCGTCGGCCCAGCCGCATTGAAGCAGCATCTGGAGAATTTGTTTACACATCTCTTAGAGGGTAAAGTGTTGAATGGTCACCCATGACCTCAGAAACAATTGTCTCAGTCTTCCATGGGAGCAAGTGAGCATATGGAAACTGGTCGTTTAAGAGGCAGCCAATCAAGTGAGACTCTCCCACTCCATGACAGCACCTCATCCCAAAACAGCACCGCCTACAGCTGAGACACAAGCTGAGACGCTAATATAGGTGAGCTACTTATGAAATCAAATGAACATGAGTGGAAGAGAGACACAGAAAGCCTTGACCAACTGCAAGAGGACGACAGAGAAAGTGACAGGGGCCTTTACAGTCACATGTGCAGCATGTGTTTTCTGTACAGTTCATGAGGGAACACCAAAGGCCAAAAGGTGAGGATGCAACTTAAAACCATCTAAAAGGAGATGGGTGATACTTACTGGATTTTTTTTTTTAGCCAGTTGAAAAGCTAAATTTTGTCTCTTGCTGTAAGCTTGAGGGACTGGGTGCAGTCGATGTCCGGAGTGAAGACAACCATGGAACACTCTGAGGACGACCCCCCAAACTGGCAGCAGCTGGTGGGGAATGAAGTCCTAAGATTCTGCAACTTCATGGTAGACCCACACACAAAAAGTGTGACTGGTTTGAAAATTTATGAAGAAGTAAAAAAGTAAAACTTTTTTCTGACATGCACTAAACTCTGGACATTATGCTGCAATTTTCAAGAAGGACTGTATATAAGAAGACTAATGTCCAAGTCTGTTGCTCCAGACATGTTTCAGAATTTTTCCTGCCAGCTCCCCAGTAAGATGTCAGGTTTAGCCCATCTGACAATACAGCAGGAAAATGTAAATTTCTGAAACATGATGAATGCAAAACTGAAAAAGAAAACTAAATGAATAGAATAATCTCAAAGTGAAAAAATGTGTCATCCAAGCAGATGAAGATGCCAACTTGGAAAGACAACATAATTTAAGAGCTCTTGGCTACAGGGGCAGACGCTGGTGTCAATGTGCTGTGAACAAAAAGCATGCTTCATCCAGACACCAACCCTCACCTGAATGTTCTGTACATTTATTTATCTGACCAGAACAATCTCCTGCTGCATTCTTCACGTCTGATAACAACTTCTGGTAGCGAGCCTTAGATTGTGACAATATAGTAGATAGTAATACATAGAATGTAAATGAGGCACACACACAGCATCCTTACATGTTGTCACACACACTGACTGTTTGTTTGTGTCTCTTCTTGGAATTTAAGTTTCAATACTGGAGCAAGTGGCAGCTGCACAGAGCGGAAATTAGTCCTCAGTAATTATTCAAATAGGAGACGACTTGCTCTCCTGGGTGAGTACAATTTCCCCTTTCAAACATCTTCCTATAATTAATGAATTTCAAGATGACTGATGTGGCAGGAAAACATTTTATTTAGCACAAAGAAATTCATCTGTTGCTCAAAATTGCTTCAAAGCAAGTAAAAAAAAAATATTGGCAATTGATTGCTTTCCTCAGCCAATTATTATGACATGTAATATTAACAAGCGAATGGTAATTTAAAGTTTTTATGTAATAGAGAAGGGGTTATTGGAAATTGCCAAGTTGTCATAATCGTCTTATATCCTACCTGAGATCCTGAAAGACAAAACCTTAAATATGGCACAGAAGAACTGCTCTGCCCTCCTCAATAACAATAATTATTATCACAACAGAAGCAAGTTAATTAAATGGATGCCCATTCCTCAGTAAATGTTACGTCAGATGATGCCCTAAATGTGTCTGACATCATCACAGCATCAGGGTGATGAGATACATAAGATATGAGGTAGCTCAGTTGGCATCCATGTCTGAAATGTCTCTATGGGGGATAAGTAGGGTTAACGATTCCCTGGGGATCTGAACTTTCTGTCTCGGCTTGGGCTGTTTCCATGGTGTTTCTTTGTCCCTCCTCCTTTCCTCCTCCTGTGTGTGTATCTGTGTGGGTGTGTGTGTGGACGTGGGCGTGGCTTCTACTCCTGGCACCTGGCGTGAGTCCCAGACTGGGCTGCAATTATCCTCATCACCAGCACTACAAGAACTCTGGCCTCTCCACTACTCATCACCAGATTGTTACAGTCACTCCTGTGGTACACACTCTCGGCCACATTTCTAGCGTTTGCTCATTTGAAGAATCTCCTCACTGTTTAGTGCATGCATTAAAGGTACAGTGTGTAGAATTTTGTGATATCTAGAGTTGAAATTGCATGTTGCAGCTGAATACCCCTCACCTCACCCTCTCCTTCCAAACATGAAAAAGAACCTGTGGCAGCTTTCAGTTTTCATAAAATCTCAACAGGTGTTTAGTTTGTCAAGTCTGGACTAAGGATAAAAACATGGCGGCCACCGTAGAGAGGACCCCCTCGATGTAAATATAAAGTATGTAAATATAAAGGGCCTTTTCTAGGGTAAAGAAAATTCAATTCATACAATTAAGATGAAATAAACTAGTGAAAACATCAAGGATTACATTTCTGCCTCTAGTTCCCTTTCACCTAAATCTTACACACTGGACCTTTAACTTTGCTTTTCCTGTGCCTCAGGATCACCAGAGCGTTACCTGCCTGCCCTCGCTCCTGCTAACCCCCAGCCGGCCTTCAGCCTGTTGTCTGCCTGCCACGCAATATTCATTAAAACCCTGTTCTTTGCAAAAACTGTTACTCTCTGTGTCTGCTTCCGAGTCTGGCCACAACGCACTGTAACAGATTGCTCTCATCTATCTCATTAAAATGGTTAAATACTAGGAATTTGCATTGCAACTATACACCCCCTGACCCAGAGCGACCAAATGTCTGATTTGTCAGTATCCGGCCTTTCGCTCTGGAGATCATTAAGACCAAGCAGAAGAAATACTCAAGCTTCGTTCATCCAGGTACTATATCCTTATATATTACACATAATTAACATTGAAAATAAATAATTGTTGAAAGAATAATGGTTCTAGGCAGCTACTTGACTGAATGAAATACGCGAATTGTGTCGCACAGAGGATTTAAACAGTTTTGATCTGTCCTGTTCAAAGAATTCAACTGAAATGTAGCTCAATCACTCACTGTACCTCTTAGATTACAGAGTTAGGTGATCGTGTAACTTATAATATTCATTGCTTTGCAGGAGGTAGAGAGCAACAGACTGTGTTGCAGACTGCAGCTTAAAGACATCATCCCTGCAGAGATGCAGCGGCTCACCAAGTACCCACTGCTACTAGAAAACATCTCCAAGTACACAGGTGCTGTGCTGTTGCCCTACAGACCACCATATCAGTCTGTATATTCACTGCATGTGTTGTCTCAAACAATTTAAGAACAGGATGATTGGATGAAGTAAAAATTCTAACCACAAAATATTAGTCACATTGAATAATGGTTGAACATCGTAGACATGACAGTTGTGATTAACATGAAGCACAGTGATAGTCACCAGAATTAAATCAATAAACCATTATCAGTGTATTGGCTGATTATTTAGTTTATTGCAGATATTTATGTCAGTTGAAAGTTTCAAACTACATTCAAGTTAATGTAAAAATGGGGCCTCCATTACATATTTTGTCCACTAGGGAGTGCTAACAAATGCAGCACTGAGATCTAACCTGACAATGGGATTGTTGGTTCAATAGAGCTGTGGCTCTTGGTCAGCCTGGCTACAGTGCTGAAGACACTGTTCTTATTGTTCTGTCTGCAGAATAGAGGGAATTATCTCCTTGAATTTATCAATTTTTCGCCTGAGTACAGGTGCTAGTCGTAAATTCAAATGACAATAGAAAATGATGTGATAATAAA